TGCTACGTCACTTAGCTCCAATCCCTAGTGGAAGATGATTTGAATGCACTGAGAAAAGGCTCTCTTACCGATACAGAGTGGCGGAGGGTAGTTCCATCGCCGCACGGTCCCCGGCATGCAGGAGATGTGGGCGTGGCCCTGTGGGAATCAGGAACAGGGATGGGCTAGCTGCCCCCAAGGGCACATATGTATGTGCAACCCAGAACAGGGGAACAGGGGACTATGTCATATTAAGGAGTAAGATACACAAAAATACAAAGTCATAAAACAGATCTGCTGTGGGAAGGGGAGTGAGGCAGAGGGAGAGACATTTAGGGGAAGGACGGCCATTAACAGCCATTACTAAAGCATTCTCATTATTAAAGACTTCCTTGTGAGACTTCTTTAATTACTCAATTCCCTTGTGGCCTTCAAAGGAAAATTAAATTTTCCCAATGTCTAATCAAACCCAACTCTGCAGGAACACGTTGGAGTCTGGCTTGTGCCAAATTGCTAGTCAGCAAAGTTTGTCTTCTGCATGAACAGCTCCAGGAGGGCATAACAGTCCCCAAGGGAGCTCCGGGGATGGGGGCGCTGCTCCCCTTCTTCAGTGACTGCATCCTGCTCATGCAAGGCTGGCCAAGGCTGGCCCATCGGCCAATCCCATCTACGGGGACACCAGTTCCCTGACCTGGGGTGCCAAGGGGCAGTACCTGGAGGGCATATCCCGGCTCACACTGGAAAGAGACCACATCATTCACCAAGTAGCGCTCGCCAGACTTCACCCCATTACTGGGCACTGCAGGTTCCGGACAGCTGCTCAGCCCCACGGCTAGAAAGACAGAGACAGAGAGAAAGGAGAATGGACAAGCCCAGCAGGTCAGTGCAGTAGCAGACAGAGGGAGGGCTGTGCTGGCGGCAGCGATTAGGGTGCCTCCTAGTTGAGCTTTCTCTCCCCTCGGCCTCCTGGCTGGTGCTCCCCAATGCTTTTCACCTCCGGGCACATAGAGGAAAGGAGAATACTTCTGTGGCACAAGGGGTCAACAGACCAAAGCTCCATCTTGGGCACTCTGCTGTTCTGCCCAGCAATGAGGGTGGAGCACCCCTTGCTACAAAGGCTGTGCCCACCCACTGTGCTGAGTGGATGGACTTTAGAGCAGAGGCAGGAGAGCTAGGGATCTTTCCCAGCCCAGCTCTAAGCCCTCTGACCTCTCTGCATGCTCCTCCCACATCACTCCGCCTCC